TCAATTGGACCCAATGACTCAATTAGTCATTTAGAAAAGTGTGACAACGAGACTTTTTTAATAACTATAATTTTATACTTACTATTTATTTTACACTGAACCATATAACTGAGGGTTTTACAATAATATTGTAACTTTTTTTTTAAATTAGATTAATATGTGCAATATCTTCAGAATTAAATCCCCCTTCCACTTAATCCTATTTGGCCAGCATTTAATATTTTATATGAAGTAAGCTCAAATTTTAACAGAACACAATGTTGTCAGTTTAAGAAATTTATGCTACTGTGGTACCTCCAAAATCTTAAGTACACCTTCCTCAGTTTGGATGATGCTGTGCATAATTCAAATGCTGATTAGTTGATAAGTGGGTGTTTTAATTAGTTAATGGTAGTTTTCACTCTGAAACACTGATGCTTTGAAAAATTCTGATTCCAATGAAAAATTGGAAGCTCTGAAAATTACAGTTTCTCATTTTGCTCTTACCACTCACCATCAAGGTTACATAATGAACAGGGAGGGACTACCAGTGTTAATCCAGTGAAAGGATAATGCATCATCAGTGTTATCTGTCTAACAGTGGCAAATTTTCTGCTGGAGGTTTTTTCCTGTTTGCTTCCCACTATTGCCAAAGTGCTTGGCTTGATGGTGTCAAAATCACATCACAGAGGTGATTTTACTCAGACCTCTACATTGGCGAGACCAAACAGCCACTTCATAAATACATGGCACAACGTAGAAGAGCCACTTCCATGGGACAAGACTCGACTGTCAATCTGCATCTAAAGGACAAAGGTCACTCTTTCGAGGATGCCAATGTTCACATTTTGGACAGAGAAGAAAGATGGTTTGAAAGAGGAGTGAAAGAAGTCATGTCCACTGTGAACGGCCATCTTTTAACAGAAGCCATCTATAATCCAGTTTTGAGATCCCCTCCCAGATGCCTTAACGCCCACTCACATCCTGGGCCATTTGACCTCGGTAAATCACATGATAGGATGGGGCTAGGTTTCAGAGTTGGTTCACCTTGGCTGATTGTGACCCACACCCATTTTCACACCTTAGCTTGTGTGATTGGGTAGCGAATCAAAGGGGGTCAATGAACCTCTTGGGGACACTCCCATATGGCTTAAAATCTGGGACTGTCCACCAATTGCTCTTAGAACAGCTTCTCGGATAAGAGGTGAAACATCTTCAAGGAAACTTAAAGAAGTCCAGAAGCTTTTCTTTCCAAACTCCTTAGACTTCACAGAGTAGTATTTAGGTTTGAGTAAAAGTGTTACCCCCTTCATGCTGACTGGAAATTATAATTTACTTCCAGGTGTTGGTTCTTGTGTTATTACTGCAGTTAAGAAAATTACTCTTTTTCTATAATACAAAGTGCAACTTGGCTACTTTTCTCAGTTAAAAAAACACTGTACACTGAGATCTTAACATTATCCAAGTAGTCCTTGTGTTATCCACTCTTACACACGATCCAAAGAGTAACCACAATCGGTGCCAACACTATAAAAGTTGTTCTCACAATGTAGTGTCCAATCCAATAAATAAGAAAACTTACTTACACTCTTTCTGGTAGAAACTTCACGTTCTCAGAGTTTTTAGAGAACATTTCAATAACATCACCTTGTAACATTCCCAAAACGTTCCCAGATGGTTAATATGTAGAGGTTTTTATTATTTGGCAGACATTCAGGAGAAATTCAGAACAGTCTGAAAATCTTTAGGGCAGCAGTAATATAAAACATCCCTCTTGTGTGTCCACACTGGATTGAGATAACATTTACAGTGCTTTTAGTGACATTATGTTTTTGCTTCTCTGTTGTTCTCAAGGAAATAAATGCACTCTTTCCGCCCATATACCTACTCCTTTTCAAACAAATAATGGAATAATATATTGTAATGATTGTGAAGGCTCATGTTTGAAATGTTTGAAATAAAATGAACTGAACTGAAATGAACTGAACTGATATAATAACCAAAATGGAACATTCTACTAAAATCATACAGGAAACTGGGAGTTACAACCGTTTCACGGTCATAATGTAACCTTTTAATAACATCTTTGATGTTTTGTGAGGGTTCAGGACATTTGTCACCTTTAATAATTCAAAGATCCTTCAGAGACATTGTTTAAGATCTCCAGTATGTCTGTTTTAACATGTTTGTTGAGTCCAGCAATGACATGGATGAGCTGCAATACTGATTAAAAATGTAAATAAGATGACGTTATCAGGCAGTTTCTCTTGTTATATACACATGTAGAGTGAGCAAAAGAGAGAGATTATCTCCTCACTGCTGACGACTGAAGAAAGTGTCAAAGTTCTGGAAAGTTACAGCCCCCTTTTTTCCAGCCTGCGTCATGCAATTTACTGAAAAAGAGACGGTCTTGGTGAGATGAAACAGAGTACTGTAAGTGTAACAATACAATGTCTGTTGTTGTTCCACAATAGGAACAATGTGCCATAGTAAACAACACTTGATTTCGAGGGTAGAATCAATACTCACCTCTTTCACAAGACAGCATGTCATTCAGCCAAAAAAAGCTGCCTGGCCAGCCAGATAGCCAAAGCAACAGATGTCTCCATCAAGCCAAAAGAGTTTATCTGCACACAGTTCCTTTCTTTTTATTGTAACATCATGAATATTCACCAATACAAAAGCCACTGCAAGTTAAAATCAACTTTCGAATACACTGTTATTTATTCTTTTACCATTTGCACAAAGCGGACACAGCATATGATGAAATGTATACACCTGGACGCAGTCGGTTTATATACTTCACACCACATAAACTTTACATAACCACCTTTAAGAGAAGAGAAAAAGAAACATACTCAGTTGAGCCTTTTAAAGAATACATTCAGACAGAACCACTTTGGTCCAGGAAAGGGAGTGACCCAAGCTCCTAACTTTAAATGCAAACATGGTTATGGTCACAGCTTAAAATACATGTAGTAGCTTGAAGCTAAATTAGGATATAGCTCTACCGAATCCTATTTTCTTTGACGTGTACAACATTCCTTTATTACTTTGTGAAATGTCTACAAAACAATGAAAAAAAGATCTAAAAAAACCACTGCAAAGATACTTGTGGCAGAACCACGATCGATGTACTTCCCAGGAAATATGTGGCTGTCTACCTGCTCTATTACTATCCTCAGCAGATGTTGATGAAAAATAACCTCAGCCTGCAATTTTTTTCCCACCTCAGCAGAAGGAACTGACTGAAGTGTTAATGTACAGAGTCTTGATCTGAATGACAAACACGTTGCCGCTGTGGGCTACAAAATGGCACTGAGGAATCACAATGAGAGTAGTTTCCATAATAAAACAGAGAGCTGTGTCTACTTCTTGCCTTATACAGGCATGGTGTTTGGGAATGTCCTGTGGTGCTTTACTGTATATGCTAGAGGGAGACTGACTCATACTAACCTCTGACCTCTGTGCTCTGTGTCAAGCCACTTGCACTGGTTTCTATCAAACCTCTGCCGGCAGCCCATTATTCATCTTACATCCACAAATCTGGAATACTGAAACTACACACATTCATACCCTGAAAATACACACTACCCACTCAAAGACATGCGTGGGAAATAAGGACTGCAATCAAATAAAATCACCTGTATAAACACATATATAGAGAGACATAGTATCTACCAATTATAAATTAACATTGTGCAAATAGATACATATAAAGTCAAGTTCAGTTAGTTCTGGCAAAAGGTTTCAGCAATTCAGATATTCATTTCTGCTCTGCAGGTTGCTTCCCTTCTGTGAAAATAAATGCTATCAGACACAAATGTACCACTGTCTGATTAGCTTTGTTTGCCACTCCAAAGCATGCTTGTTCAGCTTTTGTGGTGCAGAGTTTTGTTCAAAAGTGTTCACAGCCACTGCAGACATGGTACGCATTAGACTCTGTTGGTATGGTTACTTGGCGAATCCAGTCACTAGCAGTTACTAGCAAAGACGTTTTCGTCTGACACGATGGCACCGTAGAGTGATTATTCACACAACTCTTAAGTTAAGCTCGCAAAATTTACGCAGTCTTCATGCATGAAGTCCCAAGACCATCCTCGTGCCAGAGGTGACGCGCCATATTTAGGAACGATGCTGGAGTCACACCTTTACAGGTCGTAAAGGTGTGTGTATTTTTATCCTTGATTGGATAACCACCCTGGATTCAGGGGCAAGGCATGTCATTCAGACAACATCTTGATGGCAAAAGGTAGAAAAGGAAATGCGTGTAGTGGCAAAGGAATTCGACTATCACCTTAAAACATACACGGCAAGTTTAAACAGCTGCAACAATAGCAATCATCAGTATTCAACTAATATAAAAAAAGATGTATTTTAATCAAAAAGACATAAGAAAGTCAAGTGATGATGATTTTAGCTTATTTATAATTGATCCTATACCATCGCTTGACCTCCTTTAATGTCGACACGCAAGACGAGAAGGACCTGGGGACAGCAGCTGCCAGTTTCCCATGAGCCCTGAATGAGGTCACTTGAACAACACTGTGGTCACCATATTGTTTGAGGTATAGTCAACAGAATTTTTTTTTTTTCTGCACATTTTCATCTAAATCACATAGACAGGAAAACATTTACAGATATTAGAGCAAAGCAGATATATATATATATATATATCAGATGGTTTCCCATTTGTTCCTACCGTATGATATTTTGTACATTTTTGTGTGTATTCAGTTCAATTCTCTCTTTGTATTTAAACTTTAGTACCAGAAATTTGATAGATAGGATAAGTTAAAGCAGAGGCTCAAGCAAGGACCCTGTGACCTTTACAGTTGGGGTTTATTTATTTATTTTTTTGTTACTTCAGGTTTCATGTTTTGTATGTCATTACGATCTTCCGTGGCTTATCTGCCTCGGGATGCTGTTGCAAAAATTGTTCAGCATGCAGCAGCTTATTATTCTGTGCTAAAAAAAAAAACATCGAAACTAATCCGTTCACGAGACTCGCAGCACATTCGTGGATGCCCTTCCTGATCCTCCTCTCAGACTGTGGCGAAAGCTCTCCAGTGACGCAGATCTCTGAGGGCCGACCTGAAAAGTGACACCATTAACTTGACTCTTTACAGCTGAGCAGGTCAGTCTGTCAGAGCACGATGAGAGCCCAAAGCCATCCAACTTCCTTTTTTAAGTAGTCCCAGTAGCTTTCACAGGTGGCTCTCCACGTTCTCTTTCTGCACTTCGTAACACGGCAGCTTGTCAGTAATGCTGATGTCCTCTACCAGGATATAGTTACTGATGGTCCCCTCGTGCAGCAGTGAGGCACACTTCCCTTCCTCTGTACTGTGGACCATGCCATTTTGGTTGCTAGCGACGAGCATGTGCCTCTCCTCGGGGCTACAGACTGGGGCGGTGGTTTTGGCGATGTCTGGGAGGTGAGGCATTCGAGGGGCGTGGTTTAAGAGACTGGTTGTTTTTGTGTTTGGGGTATTGCTATAGGTGTGGCGGTACTCCTCCTCAATGTTCCTCCCTAGCTTCCAGCGCTTCCACTTCTTCAGGATCTCAGACTGCACCTGGGGAGACAGCAGAGACAGTAGACACTACAAAGCTTTGAACATCTGAAGATGGTGAAGATGGCGTATTTGTTGTGCAATCGAGATGACTCACTTCTTTGTTGACAAAGCAGTACAAGATTGCCACCAGGAGACCCTGTGAAGACAAACAATACTGATTTCATTCTGTCTACTAGCCGTTTTCACCCACAATATTCACTTACATGCTACTCTGCAGCTATGAAAACATGAAACTGAATGTATTCTGATATATGCACCACAATCCAGGCAGAAACTGCAAGTTTGCTTCTTTAAAATAAACCACAAGTGCCTTTGAGTAATATCTGTCTTAAGATGTAAGCCTCACGGCTATGTTTGCCATCTTTTGACTTTGAAATTCTCTTTTGCTCTGTCTGTTGGTCATCTGTCATATCTGTTTCCAGTGCCTAAAGGTCACTCTAATTATGTCACTGTGTGACAAAGTCATTTAGCAGTGCTCATAGTGCGTTAATTTAATCTCTTCTGACACACAAATATTACAGCACATCACGACTGTCTCAGAGATGGAAAACTCACAGAAGCAGAGAGAGACAATTATGCAAGATTATTATTCGTTTTATTATTTTTTAGTAGCCCACAACATATTTCTAACTGTGATTCAGATGCTGTTACAGTTCGGACATTTAATCTTGTTAAGCTAACATTTTTTAACTTACAAAAAACAAACCTTAAAATTGCTTTTTTAACCCTTGTGTCACGTCTCTTCACACAAACACTTGATATTGATAACACCCATTCACCCTTGTTCAGGACTACTTGGCAAGCACAAAATTAAATTAACTAGTTTCCATCAATCAATCAGTTTGTGTGAGTTTTGTGTGAGTTCACGAGCTGTCACAGGGTGAGAGGTGAAACACTCCGGACAAGTTGCCAGTTCATAGGCACTGAGTACCATGTATTACCAAGTAGTTTTCCATGGAAAGCATTGAGGGCTATATTTTAGCCCAAATCACAATTCTCTCCCCTAAACCTCACCTTTTTGGTATCAAGCAGTAAGTGATACCTAAACAAATCAGAGAAAAACTGGATGTGAATCATGACCTCCTGCCTTGAAAACCTACCAGCAACTGCCACCCTAAGTGCCTCCATATATGGACTTCGCCTTTCTGGACCATTACGCCTTGGCATCCATTCTTGGCACAGCTGTAGCATGAAGGCTGTGTTGTGTGCATCTCAGACAAACCGTAACCGTTTTTGATGGTTTGAGGTGTGTATTTTCTTTTCCTGTTCTGTACTTATGCAAGGACAGCTGAGGTGAATTATTACACCACCTAAAGCTTTAACAATAACTTTCATTGAAACCAGAGATGCCTTAATTCACTGTCCTGAGGCACACCACTCTCCTTAAGGTGATTAATGATGCTGAATCATACTAGAAATAGTGTTGTGAAAAAATAAACATGTTTCAAAGTTCATGACTGACAGTCATTTGTTGTTAAAGTCCAACCTGGAAGGAGGAGAAGAAGAGGTCAGAGAAGAGCCTGGTGAGACGCAAGCCGATGCTGCCACTGGTGGACTCATCTGTTGCGAAGATGAAGACCACATTATGGATCCCGAGCAGCGGGATCAAAGTTAGCGTTGACTTAGCCAACCTGGGATGGAGGAAAGGAGAGACAAAAGGAGAGAAAGCAAAGACTAAGTAGAGAGAAAAAAAAGGCAAATCAAGAGAAAAACAACATCATATTCACACTCACCGGAACTTATAGTCTGTGTATCTCATTTGGTGTGCTCTGAGCTTTGACACGAGAATTTTGATGATATGGATAAAGATAAGGAAGTTGATCTGTAAGAGACAGAGAAAGACGATGTTACTGGAAATAGTTTACTTATATTATGCAAAAGATACCGTCATAAAGCTCATCTTTCTCCAGTACAGTGGAGATGGATCTTCCAGATGCATACAGGCCCAGAAAAATTGTGATTAATGAGAGAAATGGAAGAAATCTGAGTTATAAATATCACAAAGGATCAACAGATAAAAGCATAACTAGCTGCATTAGTCCCAATAGCTGTGCAAAAAAGTGTTTTCAAGCACATTGGGAAACCCTTTCATAACAGCTGGCATTTCAGACAACAGTAGGTGTTCTCCTGATGAAGTCACTTATGATGTGACCTTTAATATTTTAAAATAATTTGTCATGGGTAATTTGTGGTGCTTGGACCTAATGCGTGCATTTGATTTCTGTCACGGATTGTTATATCAGCAGCCCAGTATGTACTGGCATGAGAATTTAATGGTGAACGGAACTGTGTAACGCTGCACAGTTATTCAACATTTAAACCATACGGTAACTTGTAATATTTAAAAAAAGGAGCTTAACCATAGCCATGATTAATTGTTAATCAATATTAATATGCACTTACTGGCCATTTCATTAGGTACATCTTACTAGTATCACTTTAGAGCCAATACAGAAGTGTTTTAATTCATCATGGCATAGATTCAACACAGCGCTGAAAAGATTCCTCCGAGATTTTGGTCCATGTTAGTTGCACATCCATGATGTAAATCTCCTATTCCTCCACATGCCAAGTTATCCTGCTGGAAGCAGCCATCAGGTGATGGGTACAGTGTGGTGATAAAGGGATAAGCATAGTTGACAGCAATGCTCAGGCAGGCTGTGGTATTTAAATGATGATCATTTGGTAGTAAGGGGTCCAAACTGAAAATATATATCTATTTTTTTGATCGCTCTGTAAACCATAGAGATGATTGTACGTGAAATACTCGGACCAGCCTGCACAGTACCGACAACGTGGTGCATTCAGCGTCACTTATATCACTTGTCTTTTTCATTCTGATGCTCAGTTTGAAGAACAAAGTTTATGCCACGATTATTTACTTTAATGAGCAGTCGATGCTGTATCAAAGTGGCCGACGAGTGTATATAACAGATGCTAAGCTAACTGTAGGCTGGCTAAATCTGTCAGCACACTGCGTATTAAACCACCTACATATTTATCTACATATGCATATCTGTAGTTCTATATTTGTACAGTCTAGCACGCATACACTACACACACACAATTAATGTGAATACTACAGTGTAGTTTTCTACTGTGTCGTGCAGCTTGAGAATGGTGGGACCAAGATAAAGAGGGAAACAGTGAAATTGGGACCAGCCCTCCCATTCCAACAGGAACTCAAACACAGGAATTCCTGTGGGATACAGGTCACTTAGCTGGACGATAAATGCATGTAAAGTGCCAGGATGTCTGGCCTCACTTAAGAGCCACGACAAATTGGACTTGTGTAAACGCTTAGAAGTGACCTTTGCAGAACACATGTCTAATAAAAATCCTGGTGACAGGATGAAGAGAGTATGCAGAGCTGGTCACAATGCAAATATTAATTTGATTTAATCCACAAATCTTTGAGTCCTGCCAGGCTTCACAGAAGTTCTGGATGAAGCACATCTTACCTTTAACACAACATGAATAAAAGAGGTGTGTTTAATATTTAACAGTGCACCAGTGGGGGATAAAAATAGCTGGAAATGCTTGATTGACGGTCATATACCACTTTAAGGCAAAGTTGCTTTTTTCCCATTAACGTTTACATGCAGAAATAATTGAAATGTTAAAAAAAGGACATGGTATAACAAGATGTGAAGACACATAAAGAGGAGGAGGAGGACGCCAAAATTACCATAACAGCTGCCAGTATCGGAGCGCGTATGATCCACCAGTATTTCATGTTTATATTTTGCTCCCAGCAACTGAAAAGAATGAAAGAAAAGCACTGAATGAAATACCAGTGAGAGACCACCTGACATATTTCCTCTACTTTACTAGAACGCTTGTGGACACGGCTCACACTGTAAAACATTTCGTTAAGGCTTTTAAGACTTTACATAAGAGCACAGTGTGACCTTAAAAGCACTTCATTTACTCCTTTGCAGAATATTTGGGGTCCTGCCGAAAGCTAACATGAAATATAAAGAATGTGCAAACACAGCTGTTAAACCAGACTGGCATCCAGCAGGAGATAAAACATGTCTGTGTGAAAAGTTGAATTGCAGCCAATCCTTCATGTAGTAAATTGTGTGTTAAATTAACCGCAAGCATCAAGATTTTTGGAGAAAGTCAATCTGCTGAGTTTTTTTTTTGACATGGTGTCCTGATACAAATGTTACAAGCTAAAATTTAAACTCGTTGGCAGGTTTTCACCCTTGTTAAACAACCTGGAGAACAGGGAAGAGGGAAAGAGAAGGAAACTTACTCCTGATTTTCATACAGGTATTTAATCGCCACCCATGGCACGAGGAATATTAATGGGGTACCTGTGAAAAAAAACAAGAGTTGTCTAAATGCAAAACAGCCAATTAGCACTTGGCACTTTGTATGCTCTTACTTCATTTGAGCATGCAAAAAGTATCATATAACACATAACTGACTTGCATCCCCTGACCTATGACTTCACAGATTCAGGCCAGCTCACCCCAACCGATGCACTGGTAAATTTTGAAGTAGTTCCTCTCCGTAAACACAGTGATGACCAGGAGGTTGTGGAGGTAGATGCCTTCCACCAGCAACCAGTAGCTGTTAGCCATGATACTATACTGCATCATAACCATGGCGATGCGACAGCTGACCATTGTCTGCAAGAAAAGGTTAA